GTATAAACAAATGCTTCAAATGTATGACATCTATTTGCTGCCTTCAAAGGAAAAACTTTTAACTCAGACGCTTGGCACCAACATCACACAGGATCAACTCGGTGGACTGACTTAAGTGTTAAACTTCTTAAAGTACATTTTAAGGGTTTGCACCTGCTCCCCCATCCACATAGATGCACTGACATGTATTTGACTAAACTGACTACATACATGCCCCAGCAAGCAGCCATGGCAGATTTTACAAGATAAGCAACCGAGTGTTTTTATGTCTGAGGGTGGCTAGAACACAAAATTGCCAGTCATCTTGTGGGGGAAAAGAAATGCCTGTAGGGAAAGAGAGAGAGAGAGAGAGAGAGAGAGAGAGAGAGAGAGAGAGAGAGAGAGAGAACTGATGTGGGACATCAATTCAAGAAATGGAGAAATGTATTCAGACACTGTCCAGTATACAGCATGTGGATGTCTGTTTTGCTTTACAGTAGTTTCCAATTGAGAGACAGAAAGACGAGGCTTTCTACTCTCATAAAGAGTAAGTCTCAGAAACCCACAGGGACAGTTCTACCCTGTCCTATAGAGTCACCATGAGTTGGAATCAACTCGATGGCAGTTAGGTTTGGCTATATGTCCTTTTGAAAGACCCAGACTCTGTCTAGTAGCCCTGATAGCATTATGAGATAAGCATTTGCTTGATAAATGTAAGGAGGGAGGCTCAAATCCACCAGCCCCTCATGAAGACTGACAGTCCCAGAAACCATGCAGAGCAGCTCTACTCTGTCCTGTAGCCTCACTGTGAGTCCAAATCAAGTTGGCGGCAGTGCAATTGGCTTCCTTGGTTTAAACTTCCATCTCACTTCTGCAGTTTGACTGAGATCACTAGTCCAGTCTGGCTGCTCAACGTGTAGTCCTTTGGCCAGCGGTAATGCCTTTACCTGGGAGCTTGTTCCAGCCAGAATCTCAGCTATCACCTCTGACTCCGGGAAGGGGAGATTACATTCAAGCCCAACCCCGCAGCCCTCCCCTGGCTATCTAGCTGCTCATTCCGTGTTTTATTTCCCTTGAGGCATCCGTGATTCCTAGGCACATTCAAATAGAAGCTTCACTTAATCATTGTTCGTCCAAGTTAGGTGGCAGTACACTTTGAAGTTTGTAGGGCCAAGAAATGGTCAGAAAACTGCCCTGGAGAAAAAGATAACCTGTTATTTACATCCTGGAGGTGGAGGGGCCGAGGAAAAGCAGTTTGCCCGAACAAAGCTGGCCCGTGATTCATCCATGTCTCACCCTACTTGTCCTCTTCAGGAAAGACTGCATTACTTCGGCCATCTAATGTTTGTTTGTTTGTTTGTTTTTGGTGGCATATATAACATTCAGCAAATAAATTTTTAGTATTCACATATCATTAGACATCCCAGTCTGTCATTTTAAAATGCTTTGAGTTGTATGTGAATTTTCCCCCACTTCAATAAAAACAATTGAGGGTAAAATATGGAAAACTTAGGTTATCTAGTTATTATGTAGCTTGATAGACTTGCAAAGTCATCTGTTCACTCTCAGCCTCTTGGGGAACACTTTAAAGTAGGAACTGGAGCAGAGATGATGTAAAGGTATAAATTCAGGCAGTCCCCCAGTACAATCCCCTCATGTGCTTTTAAATTGATTTGGCAGATAAATTCGGTATCGGCCTGACTTTAGCACAGGAAAGGGTCATGGTAGAGGAATGGGTTCAATATTGGGCTGACGATCAAAGGCTTAAAAAGGTGGTTAAAACCCACCAGTGACTCTGTGGAAGAAACCTGGGCATCAGCTTCCATAAAGATGTGTAGCCTTGCAAATCCTCTGGGGCAGGTGTACTCATTCTCCAGCATGGCCGAGAGTCAGACCTGAGTCAAGGAGCTTTTGCATTTGAGGGCAAAGGCCTTTCCACTGATTTAAACTGCATTTGTCTATGGCCAGGGAAGGGGATTGTAGGGGTTTCAAAGTGAGGGCAAGTTCACATTACCAGTGAAGGGCGAGTGAGCAGATTGTCAGCACAGATAGCTCTGTAAAGCCAACCGGTCCCTTCTCCGTGTTTGAAGGCAAGACAGGGACACAGCGATCTTGAGACGCCAAGCTGAGGACACCCACTAAACCCTTGCACCTCCAAAGACGGATACAAAAACAGCTGACACAATTTAATTGGTTGTGAAAAATAATCTCCCCAAATTAAAAAACAAAAACCCTGCCTGAGATCCGCATGTTGATGTGAGGGAACATAAGCACATTCCAAAAGGATGCAAAGGCGCTTACGGAACCGCAGTGACTGAAGCTTCGCCCGTGTCACACTCCGGGACCTGACCCTTTCAGACAGAATGCCAAAGGTGCCATGTGGCGTGCCCAGAGGGTCAAAGAGGCCCCAACTATGACAAACATTCTGAAACTAAAGTAGAAATGCCCACCTACTCATAAAGCCAAAAAACGGGGAGCAAGGGGACACGAACTCACTGCCACCGAGTCCATTCCGACTCACAGTGAGCCGAATAAGACAGAACTGGCCCCTGCGGGTGTCTGAGACTAACACTTTGCTGGAGTCGAACCCCTCTTCTTCCTCTGTCGGAGCTGGGGGGTTTGAACTGTGGAACTTGCAGTTCATTCTTACACAAAAACTACATATTCCGCATATGCATAGGTATCATATACAAGAGAACACATTTGAGCTGAGACCATAGAAAAACACTTTAAGAAAATGGGAACCAATGAAGTAGAGAACTCAAATACATGGGTACAAGGGCATCCGTAAGCACGGCGTTCTCTCTCATCTAGAGGGGGAGCTGAAGATAGGGAGACATTGGTTATTTTTGAAGAGATGTAAATACCAGTAACATCCCATTACATTTCTTCGTTTTAATATTTTCCCCTAAAGGTTTTCAAGACCCCAAACCCAGACTCTTACAGTACTGGGTCATGGATGAGACACAGGAAGATGAGGGAGAAGCCATGGGTCTGGGAACAGGCTCTCAGGCTATCTCCCAAAGCAGAGGATGGACAGGGCGTGGAGAGCTTAGTGCACCACGCCCACCTCCCTAACTCTATTCCCATAGCAACCAACTCAGCAGCGTCTACCACCAGTTCCTCTGCTGTTAACCAGTACAGGCTGCAGTGCCATCCAGGATGACGGTGGGCTCCCATACGGTTTGCTCCCACCTGTGATGCATACTTGTGTTGTGAAGTCTGAGCCTCACTTCATGGGAAGAGGGTCAGGAATGGCTGGAAGACCAAGAGAACCCAGATTTCCAGAGCTCGGTCCAATTCTAATGAAGTCACTCACCTATGCAATATATATGTGTGTGATAAAGTATATATGTGATAAAACTATATATATAGGCTAAAACAAAGCCAAATGAACTTAAAAATTGAATGGTTAAAAAGATAACTTGTACTCACTTTTAAATGGTTGCTAGGCATTCAAGGCCAGAGCAATAGCTCCTGCCCCCCAAATGTAAGTAGGCCTTACCAATCGATGGTAGGAACAAAGATGTCACAAACTGTTTAGATTAGTCCTAAAAGTAAAACATGGGGCATTCTGGCTTCCCAGGCCTTCGCAGGACACCCACTGAACCCTTCCTTGGGTTAGATTTTCACCTGGGCAGAAGCCCTGCCACAGTAAGTGCTCCTCCTGAGCGGCCTAATTTGACTTCATTCCTGTTTGGGCTCCGGTCCAATTGGCAGATGTTCTTGTAGAAGCTGATCTCACTTTCCCTTTCTACTTTTTTGGCACCCTTACTTTTGTTGCCCGGGATAGCATCGCTGAAACTTTATCTTGGATTCCCCAGGTTTTGCTTGTTCTGTAACTGGTTTTCTCCAAAGAGGCTCATGTGAGAACTACTAAATCATTGGTAATTCTTTTTGCTGCAAGTATGACTTGCTAGCAAATTTCCAACCATTCCTTTGCCTTTTCCCCACTACCCCCCGAAATAACTTGAGAAGCAAAAATGCAAACACAAGGCCATCATTGTGAATGCTGGACAAAGGCACCACTTTCTCTCCCAGGTTGGGACTTTGTCAAATGAAATGTCAGAGCTATGATATTTATTATCTGAAATCGGTTTAACATTTGGAGAAATGTGTTCAAACACATAACCTTGGAAAGAAAAGCAAGCTGATCAGACAGAGAACAGAGGGCAGGCAGAGAACATGGACAAAATATCTTGCCGTGTTGGGCAGTTAGAAAAGGGTACTTCTGAGCCTAACGAGCTCCCAGATGAGGTAAAATACAAATTGATTTCCAATACACGTTGAGGGGCACTAGAAATCAACTTTACATATACATGACCACAATATCGATAATGAAGAAATCTTACGTTTTATTTAAGTTTGGCCAGAGCAGCCCCTTTGGAGGGATCACTAGTTCAGGAAAGAGTAACAAGAAACCATTCACTTTCCTGCAGATTCGTCACTTTTCTAATTATTTCTATCGGCTCTGTCTTATCCATTCTGCAAATTAAGAGAGAGAGGGTACCTATATTCAATCAGCAATGTCTGGTTCTTATTCCACCTAACGAGATTGTGAGTTCGCATGGATTGGACAACTACTCTGCAACATTCCTGAGAATTGAATAAGAAAATAATCTTGAAAGTCAGCAGAGTAGATTACCCACTTTTTTTTTCTCCTGGACTTGAACTTGTGACCTTAACAGTAGCGCTGCAAAAAAAAAAAAAAAAAAAGAGCAAATGTGCTAAGCACTTTGCCCGAGTAACCTTCCATGTAGACTTTTCCTCTTAAATACACACAACTGACAACTAAAATTTTTGGAAAATTATTTACAAACCCGATACTTCTTTTGATTACGTATAAATACAAATTAGCTATTTTTTTTCCTAAAAGTGGTTATAATAGTAAATAAATACAAAATAAATCTGTCCATTATACTTCATGTGCTGGGGTTGGACCCATATAAAATGTACAACTAAATACATTTAAAATCTTTTTAAGGAATAATTCTCTGATTAAAATATTTATTTTCCCAACTTCTTTTCGTAGATATAAATATATTTTCAAAATAGTTGTGTTTTTTTTTCCTTTTTTCCATTCCATTCCATAAATAAAGTCTTCATTGGGAAATATTAAAGTGTCAACTTGGGGGATTTTTTGCGTTTTTTTTCTAATATATATATATACATATATACACATGGATGTGTATATATCTACATATACTTATATAGTTCTGCTGGGCTAACGACACCCACAACCCTCCACAACCATGTCCTGGTAGTTCTTTAATACAACCTTTTCATTTTCGTCAAGGTACAGCATGGAAATAGGGCTGAGTTCTGTGGGGACACAGCACGCCCTAGGAATCTTAGCGTTCACGGAATTGACCAACGTCTGAACAATGGCATGATTCGTGGAGTTCAGGTGATCTGCCAGGGGAAAGGGGCATTCCCCGTGGCAGTAAAAGGCGTGATACCCTGGTGGGGCCACAATCCAGTCATTCCACCCCACGTCACTGAAGTCCACGTACAAAGGGTGTCTCTTACAGCCGTACTTCAGGCGCTTCCGCTGCTTGTGTTTTGCTTGACGCCTTTCTCTTTTGTGGAGGGGATGTCCTTTCCCATCGTGGCCGAAAGTTACGAGTAACGGCCTTATTTGGGACCAGCTGTGTTCATCTTGGTGCAAAGACCTGCTAATCCTGACGTGTCTCTTGGAGACATCGTGCGCCTCCTCTAAGTGGGTCACTTCCACCGCGAAGCCGTGATTGACATGTCCCTGTGCGGTCCACCGCGTCACCGCGGGCGTGACATCAAAGCTCTCCCACTTGCTTGCGTTCTGATTCACCAGCCTGGTGTCCAAAAGTCTGGTGACCGGGAATTTGGAGTTAGTTGGTGCAGGTTTGATAATTTCATAAATATTAATTCGATGATGGAAACTGCCGCTGTTTGCCAAAGCTTGCTGCATCTGTTCCCGAAAGACCTGAAGTTCCGCTGAAGTGACCAGCTCCTCGGTGGGGATCGATGTTAAATTAAAGAAGAATCGGCGGGCTGTTTTCCCATTTGTCTCTGGAAGTTCTTCCAAAGATTCTGACATGATACAAAAAAGATTAGAAAACAACAATCAGCAAGATAGAGAACACTCCGTGTTTTTAAACCTCTTTTTTAAAAGTCCCCATAAAATACAGGAGTCTCCCTCTTCTGTTTGTCTCAACATGCAAATTTCATAATTCATTGTAATGCTTTTGATCTAATACATGAACTCTTGCTTCCAGGTGGCTGTAATAATGGGGGCACGGTGAAGCATTTCTCTGGAATTCAGACTTGGGGGGGTGGGGTAGGGGGCGGGGAAACTTCAGCACTGTAGTTAGTAGAGGTCTAATGAGTGAGGATTTGAGGAAATTATTGCATTTCTTTAAGAAAAGAAAGGCTTTAATGTCAATCCCTTAAGCAGTGTTCTAAAACATTACTCTGCAATTTAGATGATTTACAAATCTCGATACAGATTCCAGTTTCCTAATTAAAGACTCTGAAACGCAACATCAAGATGACATTTTGCAAAGCACACCCTACTATTTTACTCCAAAATCCAGAGACAAAGGCCTGTAAGAGGCTCCACTTTGGAAACGTATGAACGGTACCGGGACACTGTAGTCATTAAAGCCGGATAAACAATTATGAGAAAATAGCTTCCCAACTGTTGCTATTCTCTCACCTCTTCATGACCTCAGTAATCAAAATCTCATTTTAGACAGTTTTGCAGAAGAGGTGGAGTGGGAGGAAGACTCTCTTCTGTTTTTCTTCCATTATTTCCCCCCCCTTTTCTTCTTTCAAAGAAGTCACAGCAGCACCCTAATAGGCTGCAAGGAAAATAGCAAAGCAAGGGAAACTTGCAAAACACCTTTCTGATACGCGTGCTACAAGGAGCAATCTCGCCCTTTCTCAATAAGTCATTCCAGATTTTTTTTATTCGTATTTCAAAACAGCAATTTTAAGATGCAGATACCTGAAGGAAGTTCAAATGTAAAGAGCACAGAAAAGTAACCCAGTGCTTCGAGTGCTAGTTGATACAACTTGAAAGATACAGAACTATGAAACGCTAGGGAGAGCCACCAGAAGTTGAGATCGTTCAGCGATCTTCTCTTGTAGCCATGGGGAGTTGCTGGCTAGAGCACATAGTTGAGCACTCAAGTACTGGTCTAAAGGTTGGCCACTGAGCCCATCCAGGTGCCTGGAGAGCATCCGCCCAAGATCACACAGCTATGAAAACCCAATGGAGCAGTTTTACTCTGCACACAAGGAATCGACTCCCACGGCAACTCACAAGTTCTAGCACATCCTGTCATTTTCTGTTTCTAAAGTGCCCACTTCACTAATGATTCCAATCTAAGTTCTTAAACAAAGCTATGTTGTCATAACGCCGTATTATCATCCTAAGTGCCCCTGCAGTACTTTTGCAGTTGCTTTTCTCCTGCAAACGGCTCGGACTTCCGATTCCCCACTGAAAGGGTCTCTCTGGAAACCCTTACCATCAAAGTAAAAGGCGCTACCACCCCACGCTCAGTGGAGCTTCTGGTGTGCAGTCTGAGTGTCAAGATCTTAAACTCTTGCTTTTCACATTCAAACGACTATTTTGGCAGGACTATATTTTCAAGTGCCTTGCAAATATAAAAACAAGTAGAACCACTAGTTTCGGCCAAAGAACAAGAGTTGATGAGGTCAGGGGTGGGCAGCACCGGACTCAGATCAGAAGGTTCTTTCTAAAATGCATCTGCTCAAGACCTCTAGGATGTGGGCACAGGCTACGAGGCGAAAGAACTGAGCCCCCTTGACCTCTTCTCCATGTTGGGCATTATTATTAAAATAGCGCTTCCAGTCTATCTAGAAAATCCTGGGTGGTGCAAATAGTTTCACATGCCCAGCTGTGAATTGAAAAGTTGGAGGTTCGAGTTTACACAAGTCCTAGAGATCCACTTTTGAAAAAAAAAAAAAAGGCAGCCAATGAAACCCTCCGGAGTGTAGTTCTCCTGACACATGGTGGGGTTCTCCATGGGAATTAATATGACACCCACTGGCCAGTCTAACCAGCCCAGCCCTCAGCAGCTTTCAACAAGTATCCAAGGTTGTAGAAGGTTCCTTTCGGTCTTCTGGAGAGCTTTCTGATGTTTCTGCAGGAAAAACTTTCCAGCAGAGAAGTTACGAGCTACCAGATGAAAAAGAAATAAGGTGAAAATGAACAGCAGCCCTCAAATTCAAGAACCCCCAAAGCCTGACCTGCATCTGAGCTACTGGAACATCTAAAATTGGATACCTCCTTGTCTTTCAAAGAAGAGGAAAGAAAGGAAAAATATCTAGGACCTATACTGAAGAGCTAAATGAATGTGAGCCTCTAAGTCATAATTGCAGCAAGGACCCAGCATGTAAGTACATAAGTAAACAGGAAGGAAGTTGACATAAATACACACCATTACTGGTTCACATACCACCCCCACACACAAAGTCTGCAATATAGCATGGCAAGCATGAGGATTCTGAACAGATGGAGACTTATATACAAGCCTTAGTACCTAACATATATTCTTGTAGACTTACACAATTATCAGTGGCTTATAAGTATCCCTTGTTGAGTAAGCCAAAAATGCCAGGGTCTAGAAGACTCTAGCTTTGCTTATTGTGGGCTCCTGAGCCTCTATGTTCTTAAGAAAATAGATGCAGTTATGCCAGCAAAACTAGGGGCAACAAAACGAAGGTGATGATGCGGTGACTATGACCTTTGGACTGTCATGCACTGCCAGTTTTATGGCTACCCCAAAAATCCACAAAATGAGGCTGTAGGTTCTCAACTTTTCTCCAGGTCAGCCTACCTGTGTCCACTAGACTGTCTCTAGACAAAGGTAGATTATGCTATAAACATCATCATGACCATGAGGTCTAGTATTTACTAAATGCTTTGCAGGTGCCAGGTTGGACACTGACAGTTTCCTATGAATTACCTCACAACAACCCAATTAAAGAAGAACTATCATTATCTCTTTTTAAAATGAAGTAGATCTCAGAGAGGTTAATTAACTGGCCTAAGGCCACAGAGCAGGACTATGAAGAGTATAAGTAGATGCCAAATTTTAAGCACCAGACTATAACTAATGTAGGGGAGGAGTCAAAAACTCCAGCAAAAGGCACCACCAGCAGGGAACACATTCATATGCAATAGTGTAACCATTAAGGGTGTGTTCAGTGCCAAGTGCAAACACATTGGCATAGAAAAGATACCGTAAGGTCCATAAATATTTCTAGGAAGAGATAGGTCTCATTTTTCTCCAGAGGAGTGGCTGATGGGTTTGAATCACTGACCCTCCAGTTCGTAGTCTAAGGCTTAGCCAACACCACCAGGATCACAACTTAAGGGATAGACTTTATTACCAGAGTATGGCGGAGACAAAAGACAGAACTAAAAGAACTGACAAGTAAGACAGGGCCCATTGAAGCCCTTTTTTTGGAAGCACTGATATTTTGTAACTCCTGGGATAACCCTTGGGTTGCTAACCCCAAGGTCTAAGGTTCAAACTCACCAGAGCCCTGAAGGAGAAATTAGTGACTACAGCTATCTGCTCGTATCAAGATTTATAGTCCCAGGAACCCTATATAGTGTACTATGAATCACAAGTCACTCAATGGCAGTGCCTTTGGCTTTATCCTAAGGAATCCCTGGGTGATACAAATAATGAAGGCCCTTACTTAGATGCTAAGCAAAAGTTTAGAAATTTTAGTTGAACCAGAGGTGCTGAAAAAGGCCTGAGGAACTACTTATGAAAAAATAAAAAAACAACAGTTCTACTCTGTCTTGGACAGTGTCTCTATGAATTGAAGTCAAATTGACAGCAACTTTTTGGGGGGTGGGGGACATCTTAAACCATACCAAGTTTGAGCAAAGAGTTATTGTTATTATCAGGTTGAGAATTTTGCAGCATTCTTTGGGCAGAAAACATCTCATAAAACAACTGAAAACCTGACGGTGTTCTGGAAAAATCACTAAAGTTAGAAATCTCTTCCCTAAAATAAGGAGAATGGCTGTGAAATCTACAATGTAAAAGAAGTTAGAGGATTGATATAGCAAAGAGAAAAAAAAGATTAAACATGCGGTATTAAATAGAACCCAGCTTCTTCCAAAGAGAAATGAAGGAGGAGGCAACTAACATAAAAGAGGCTGCTCAGTTTGACACAGTCCCCCTTTCTCTTTAATACCTGTGACATGATTGAGTGCCCTTTCCCTACCATCTGAAGGCCCAGGGAAATACACAAAGGGAATGTCTAAAGGAGAAAAATAATTCCTGAGAGAGAGCAAGCATGAACCTAGGGGCTATGTCCCCCGTAGAATGGCTCTTCCACTGGGAGGGCTTCTCATGACCACTGAAGCACCTGCAGGCCCAGGAAAGGACTGGTTTCAGGAGTCTGCGTGACCAAACACTTGGGTGTCCTAGGAATTTGTGGTCCAAGTTCCCCTTCACAGGGCAATGGCTGTTGGATTTTCCTATGATGGGATGCTTTCAAGATGTTAATCTTGATCTGAAATCTTCAGTCACACAATCCAGCTATTTCATGCACAAGGAAAACTGTACTTCAGAGACTAGAGAATTAAATTCCAATCTGACTGAAAACCATAAAAGACCACTGCAGGCAACCAATCCATTCTCAATGTTTCTTAGCCCAGCAAAGTACAAAACTTTGAAAGGTGTAAGTACTTTTCAATGACTTTGAAAAACAAATTGAGCACTGCTTGGACTACATAAAGGCCAATGTAGGGTAGACTAGGCTCTAACTAAAAAATTCAGTAGGAAAAATGACAACCGATAATTTTGTCTCAGATGGCCTACCATGAGGTCCCATTGTTTTTCCATTCTAAGGGACCCCGCCCTCAGTCAACAGGTGCTGCTCCATGAACCACAAGGTCAACAGTGTGAAATCACCAACTACTGTGAAAGAAAGATGAGTGAAGAGAAAGACTGTGAAGAGTTACAGTCTTGGAAATCCACAGGAGCAAGTCTACCCTGTGAGTTGGAATCGACTCAGTAGCAGTGAGTCTGAATTTACCAAATAGGCGCCATTAATGGTATAGGAACCAAAGCCCGCCTTTGAGCAGAAGTCTTAGCCCCTCGGTTTACCAAGCATTTTAGTGGGATGTATGGCACAAGTGCCACTCATGAACCTGATTCTGGGTTACACAATATAAAGTGATCTTCAAAAAGCACTGTATGCAATTTAGTGAGGACATAACCAAAAAAATGGATTTTGAAAATGAGGTAATATTCCAAGTTTAATTCCTATTAAAATGGATTTTAAGCAAGTTGGTAACTTCGGCAAATTCAGACTTTAGAAAGTCCAGTATCTCTCTGACATTGCAATAGCATCATTTATATGCGCTCTGGTTTTGATCAAGCCACTTATGAAGGGAGAACGAGAGACGCACAATGTGTCACAAGTGAAACTCCTACAACTGATGTTAAGTGATTGAAAAAATCTGCCTTTTATATTCTTAGCGGCTCTCAACCTGTGGGTGGCGACCCCTTTGGGCGGGTGTCAAACGGCCCCTTCACAGGGGTTGCTCAATTCATAACAGTAGCAAAATTTCAGTTATGAAGTAGCAACGAAAATAATTTTAGGGTTGGGGGTCACCACAACATGAGGAACTGTACTAAAGGGTCGCGGCATTAGGACGGTTGAAAGCCACTGTAAGAGGGGATGCAGAACCTCCCTGGCCTCCAAAAGAAAGGTATGGATTTTAGGTTTAGGATTTCCACGTCAAATTTCCAGGAGGTAGTCACACAGACGTTCTGGTTACTTTGCTATCCAGGAAAACTTCCATTAGAAAAACCTCTCAGTAGTGATAAAAAGCAAATAAAAACTGGATCTTTAATAACCTTAGGGTTAAAGGGACAGAATGTACACCAATGACCACATCTCTCAGATGACGGGGAACTGCATTCCGTTGATGAAACCTGAAGGAGTATAAGACCTCATTGCTGGGCAAAATCTGATTTCTGCTAGCAGAAGCAACTCATTATTAATGCTAGTGTTCCCTGGATGGAAGTCACTGGGTGGTACAAATGTTCAAGGGGCTCAGCTGTTAATTGGAAGGTCAGAGGTTCAAGGTCACCCAGAAATGCCTCTGACGAAAGGTCTAGCAATGTGCTTCAGCAAATGCAGTCATTGAAAACGATATGGAACACAGTTCTGCTGGGATGTTGGCAGCGTCACCATGCCTTGGCTTGGACTCAATGACAGCCGTGCCTTGTTAGTGGATGGAATCCTCAATGAAGGGATTTTGTTCTGGGAGCTGCCCCACTGTCAGCCAGCATTCTCACAAGTAGGTAAGTCATTAATTCCCCAGGTGAGGAACCTGGTTTGAGCTTTCTACCCTGTTTATACCAGAGTACAGTATAGGTTTCCACTTGAAATACACCTCCTCAGAAGGGCAAGGTAAGAAAGCCGCAAAAACTCAAACCCTCTGACAAGCAGTCGATTCTGACTCAGTCACCCGATGTGGGGTGAATCATTTTGGATTGTAAATGTTTAGGGGAGCAAACAGCCTTGTCTTTCTACCAAGGTCCCACTGGTGGGTTTGAATTGCCAACCTCGAATTGCCTAAACCACAGTGCCACCAGGGCTCCTTAAGAAAGAAGGACCATTTTATTCCCTCCTCCCCAATATCCTACATGTGGTTGCCCTGGGATATACTCATATTACTTTGCCATCTTTTCTAGAACTTAAAGTACCTTTGCTCTATTTAGAACCTATTAAGCCAATGGGGCATTAAAAAATGTAAAGAAAGGTTTGATGTGGAACATGTCTTTGACTAATTGCTCTAAGAGCTTAGGTACAGCCGCTCACTTCTAATATATTTCAAATCCACCAAATGTCTTTCTGATGAAATAAGCAGTGATGTTCCTCCCTTAACAAACCACATTCGGTATATAAAAAAGAAAAACCCACATTTCAGTGCACATGAAGAAAAACAGGCAGCTGCTGCAGAAAAGCTTTTATCTGAAGGCTTGTCTGGTCTCTACCCTGAGTCTCTATCAGACTGGAGTAAAAGACAAGAAAGTCATTGTGGAAACAGAGAGACTGATTGTGGAATTGATCTCCCACAGGGATTAGATCAGGATTCAAAATCTTCCCAAACCAGGCCCATATCAACTGTAAATTAGAAAGACTTGGAGCTCTGGTCTTTGATTTTTAATACCATCTCTGAAAATTCTGTCCTTGGCTCTGCCTAGCCTAAAACCCTGGCTTACACTGAAGAAACAGATGGATAGGGTAGGGGCGTCCAAACAGACTTAAACCCCAGTCGGTCCCTTTCTCTCCCCCTAAGGAATTCTGGCGTGTTTAGCTGACAAGGGGCATGCCTTTTGCCCTCATCTTCCCTATTGCTTGATTTCTCTCCAGTTCCTGAGGTGGGGGTGGGGGTGGGGTGGGGGAAGAGGAGTCGCCCTTCTGGCTGCAAGCCAGAAAAAAGGGTGCAGACTTAGCAAAGGGGAATCCCTGGCTCCCTGCAGCTCATGGCGCTTTAGCTGTGCGTGAAAGCCTGGACATGAAGCAAGAGAGCATTATGTCTGCTGTGCTCTGGCCAAACCGTCCGGTCCCCCCGGCCCCTCACCCCCCTGGATGTCTGCAGTCCGCCCCACGGGGGCTCTGCAAGGTGACTCCCGAGGCTGCGCCCGCTCCACCTCCGCGTCCCGAGCCTCACCTTCGTGGTGGAAGCTGCGCACCGTGTTGGCCCGGCTGGTGGCCTTTTCCAGCCGGTGGTCTGGGGCGCGCGCGCCAGGCTGGCCCGAGTGCCGGCGATACAAGTCCAGCATGTAGGGGGGCACCACGGCGTCCCTACTGGGGGTGGGTCTCTGCTTCAGGCCGAACATGCTGAGCAGCCGCAACTCGAACTCGTTCAGGACGTCGTCAGAGGGCTGAGACGAGGAACGACCCGACGCGGCCGCGAACTTCCTCCGGGCCAGCTCTGGAACCAGGCCAGCCGCGCCGCCCAGGAGGACCTGGGGAAGCAGCAACGCTAGAAGACAGCGGGTCCCGGCCACCATGGTCGACCTGCGGACAGGGCCGACGTGAGTCACCGAGTTCTCCGCCCAACCCCCTCCCCCACTCCCGCCATCCCAGCTCCCGGCCTGGCCAGCTCCTCCTCCAGGGTGCCCACCTGGATTGCAACAGTCGTTGGGTACGTGTCTCGCGGGGATCTAGCGCGGGAGTTTTTGAGAGTGGAGGGTCCCTAGGTCCTGAGCCGGATCACCCGCTCTTCCCATTCCCATGTCAACTGTCTGCCGTCTGATTTGGGGGCCTGCCCCATCCCAGCCCCCACCTCCCTAGTCAATGACAGTCCTGTTCTGTTTTTCTTGGTTGTTTTCGTATGACTCCCGCACTGACAGCCGGCACCGAACCTGGGGAAACCACCCCCCTCGTCCTGACACCCTCTGGCCACGAAACATCCCAAGCACACACCATCCCGTGCTTGCTTGCTTGCTTATAAACACAAATGGGGCATGTCACTTCCTCAGCGGCACTGTATAGAACTTCCTGATCCCTTCTGTACCTTCCAGAGCCTGCACATTAAAGGCCACGACTTTCCAACCCCACTTTCCGACGCCTGGTGGCCCACGCCCCTAAGTTGAGGGGTGGGGGTGGTCAGGGCAAGCCATTTCAAAGCCTTCCCGCCCCCGCCCCCCCGAACGCCCCTGGAGCCATGGAGACACACATGAGTTTTCCTGAGATTACGCAAATACCTATTACTTCACGGGTCAGCTGTGGAAAATGCGATCCACCAAAGTGCTGCCCTCCGCATTTCTGGAAACAAGGAGAACCCCGACTTCTTTCCAGTGCTTTCCCAAACGCAATGAGCACATGTCCCAAAGAAACTTGGGACGGGCGAAAGAATCGCTAGGGCAGGGCGGACAGGTTGGCAGCTAACGGGTGAGACGCAAGGGCGATTCTAAAGGACTTTTTATTTTAATCATCTAAGTGTTAACAGCCCTAATTAAATGCCGGGCAGAGAGGAGCCACGAGGGGTGGTGGGGAGAGAGCAGGTCGGGCCGGTGGGGCTGAGCACTCCCGCAGGGGGGGTTGGCTGCACGTGGACCTGAAGTGGGGGGGTTTGTTTATGTTGGGTCTAGCCGGGTTTGGGGAGCAGCGCGGCAGCCCCGACCTCCGGGGGTCCCGCGCCCAGCCACTCGCGCCCTCCCCACCACCACTCCCGGCCCGGGACGGCGGACCCTACCTTTAGGAGACCGCAGACCGTCTAAGAAGCACGCGGGGACACGTCCATTGAAAGAGCCGCCACATGGAAAATACTCCGGCCAAAGGACCTGGCGCGGGGAGTGGGTGTCCGCTCCCTTCCCTTGCCTCCTCTTCCCCCTCCCCGGCGCGGGCCGGCCCGGCCCCTCTCCGCGCCGGGAACCGCGGCGCGCCTGGCAGAGGAGGGGAGCGGCGGCGGGGCTCGGGGGCGACCAGGCGGGCCCCGCTGGGGCAGAGGCACCGGCGCGAAGTGGGGAGCGCAAATGCGGCTGCCTTCAAGTTTAAGTCTCCAGCCAAGTGCTGACACACAACAACAGCGAACAGGGGGCGGAGTGGAGGGCAGGAGCGAGAAGGGGAAAATGAAGCGGTGGTGCTGTCGTCGTCCTCAGGCACCAGCGCCCGCGGGGCTCGGGACCCCCGCGCGGGGCCGACACTGCGACGCGGGCGACGGCACTCGGGCGCTCCGCTCTAGCCCCGCCGCGGCCCATGGCTCGGGGCAGCCATCCTGGTCGACGCCGGGTCCGGGGAGGGGCGCAGCGGCTGCGGCGATCTCCGTGCTGGGCGACTTGCCCCTCCGCATCACTCTGCCGGACTCCAGGGCACCCCCATTCGCGGTCACCAGTGGGAAACCCCGCCGCTCCGGTGCCCCGTCGTCCTCCGGCGCATTCTCCGGCCAACCGAGCCCTGTCCCGGGCCACCGAGGAGGCGGGTGGCCGCGCTCTCTTCTCGCCTTCCCGCGGCCCCGGGCT